TTATTTTCGATGAAAATTTTCAAATTTTCGCGGTTTATTTTTTTTTTTTCAACGGATTTGCGACAGAAATTTCTGTCGCAAATCTAAATTTTATTTTTTTCCGCTATTTTCGATGAAAAATTTTAAATTTTCGCGGTTTATTTTTCGTTTTGCGACGGGTTGCGACTGCAATATCCGTCGCAACACTTAATAAAAGTTGCGACTTCGTCTTTTTCCTCCAGACTTTGAATTTTTTTAAAAAAAAATCTCAATCTTCTCCAATCTTCTCCAACAAATTGTTTTTCTTCAAAATTCGCCAAGGTATGTGTATATATATCGTGTATATGGATTTGTATATGTATGTGTTGTGTATATATATATATGTGAATGTGAATATGTTATGTGTGTGTGTATGTATATGTGTATGCGAATGTGTATGTGTTTATGTATGTATGTGTATGTGTGTGTGTTTATGTATGTGTGTTGTGTATGTATGTGAATGTGAATATGAATGTGTATGCATATATATAAATGTTTATGTGTGTTTATGTGATGTGTATGTGAATATATATATATATGTATGTGTATGTGTATATGTGAATATGTATGAATGTGTGTTTATGTATGTGTGTAATGTATATGTATATGTGTATACAAAATTTACATACACATACATATATATTACACATATGCACATAATTATACATATACACATAAATTTATATACATATATATATATACATACACATATATTCATAGACATATATATACATACACATATACACATACATAAACACACATTCATACACATATATACACACATAAATTTGCATACACATACATATATATTACACATATACACATAATTATACATATACACATAAATTTATAAACATATATATACATACACATATATTCATATACATACATTTACATACACACATATATACATATACACACACATACATAAACACACATTCATACATATATATACACATATAAATCTACATACACATATATATATATATATACACATACACATAAACACACATTCATACACAAAATTTACATACACATACATATATATACACATATACATATACATTACACACATACATAAACACACATTCATACATATTCACATATACGCATACACATACATATATATATATATATATATACATACACATCGCATAAACACACATAAACATATTTATATATATGCATACACATTCACATTCATATTCACATTCACATACATACACAACACACATACATAAACACACACACATACACATATACATACATAAACACATACACATTCGCATACACATATACATACACACATACACATAACATATTCATATTCACATATATATATATATACACAACACATATATATACAAATCCATATACACGATATATATATGCATACCTTGGCGAATTTTGAAGAAAAACAATTTGTTGGAGAAGATTGGAGAAGATTGAGATTTTTTAAAAAAAATTCGAAGTCTGGAGGAGAAAGACGAAGTCGCAGCTTTTATTAAGTGTTGCGA